TCGGGCCGTGGGGCGGGCAGCGCAGCCCGGGCACGCGGAGGGTCCCGAGCCCGCCGTCTGATTGGAGGCGTCGCTTCCGCCGCCCCCTCACGGAGTCGGGAGCCCGCGACGCCCCACAGCCCACCGCGTCGCTGGTGCGCAGCTCCCCCCACCCACAGCCCCCGTGAGCTGCCCAGGCAGGGGTTGAGCGAGGTGAGGCGAAACCGCGTGCACGTTCTCACTCGGTGCGTGTGCGCGTCCGCGGGAACAGGCGAGGGGAGGGGCGGGGGTCTCCCTGCTCCCGCGGAGCGCGCTGCCGCGGGCACACTGCGCAAGCGCCCGGCACCTCTGCCATAGGGAACCTCCTGCCCACGGACTGCATTGTGCATGCCTAGAAGCCTCTCCGTGTGTATCCCAGCCAGGCCCTGCTGTGGCGCTCCCAGACATTGCCCTTCCCCTTCCCCACCCTGGAGACCTTCACACAAATGCCCCCTTCCTCAGCTAGGCCAAGGACCGCAGTGGCTGCCATGATGCTTATTGATAGGAAGGGCAGATGTCATCAAAATGACCATTGGCATTCCTGGCAAAGCGGTCTTTGCTGAGTCACACGCGGTTTTCACTCTTCAACAGGTTCTCCACCTTGTCAAGCATCCTGACGCAGCCCTTAATTCAACACGTTTCTTTTTCTTTTCTTTTTGTTTTGGGTTTTGGCAATAGTACAGTTTGAACTCAAGGCCTTGCAGGTTCTCTGGGACTTGAGCCACTCCCCTGGCCCTTTTTGTTTGGGTTGTCCTTTGAGATAGGCTTTCCTTCATGCTCAGGCCTGCCTGGATCAGGATCCTCCCATTTGTGATCCCCCTGCCTAGAAGCTGGGATGACAGGTGCCAGCCACCATGGCCCAGCCAGGGGTGGAGATGAAGCCCTGGAAACTTCTTGCCTAGATTGGCCTGGAATTGGCATCCCCAGATCTCAGCTTCCTAGGGAGCTAGGATTCTAGGCTTGAGCCACTATGCCAGGCTAACACTTTTTTTATCAAAGCCACATTTACATTTCTATTCCTCAGTGTTCTCCTCAGTAAACTTCTAGTCCCTCATTTCAGCCCTTCATTTGCTCTATGAAGAACATGCACCTCACAACTGGAGAAGCATCCAACTGATCTTAAGTCCCAACTATCTCCATCCACACACACCATCCATCCTTGTCTTTTTTAAGTTGTCTTTCAGTAGTTGTACAAATGGATTTCAATTCAACCTGTCAATTTATGAGTACAGTGCCTCTAGATCTGAGTCACCTTTGCTATCCTTCTCCCCCTATTCTAACCCCTTCCCTCCCTTCTATTTTCCTGGTTCCATTGTCATATATGTACATTGAGTATTATGACTGTATTCACCCACCAGTCCTCTCTCCCTTCCTCTGCCCCTTTCTACACACCCACTAGATGATTAACTGACAGTTTAACAAAATGAATGTCAGGCAACTCAAACTGGTGTCTTTCAGCTAGAGGTAAGGAAAGCATACCCATGGAAATACCTTTGTGACTTACATTTTTACTTTGAAGTACAGAATGGGACTCCAGCAAGGTCACTTGTTGCCCTCAGATCTCCATGATCCAAGTGATGACACTCCAAACTGAAAATTTTAGCAATCTAGAACTTTTCTCTCCTTTTCTATTTGTTCATAATATTTCCTTAATCCCTTCTTTTGTCAAAACCAAAGGAGAGTTAGGTGCTGGTGTTTCACATCTGTAATCCTAACTACTCAGGAGACTGAGTTCTGAGGTTCGCAATTCAAAGTCAGCCAGGCCAGGAAGTGGCACTGTGGCTCAAGTGGTAGAGTGCTCCCCTTGATCTGAGGAGCTGAAGAACAGCGCCTAGGCCCAGAGTTCAAGCTCCATGACTGACAAAAACAAAAAAGTCAGCCAGGCCAAGAAAGTCTGTGAGACTTACATCTCTAATTAACCCACACAGAAAAGCTGGAAGTGGAGCTGTGGCTGAAGAGGTAGAGTGCTAGCCTTGAGCAAAAAATGCTCAGAGATAGTGCCCAGGCCCAGCACACACCACCACCACCACCACCACCACCATTTACAAAGGTAACTGTGGGAGTTGGGAGAAAGAGAGACTTGGGGAAAGAAGAGACACCTTTTCTGCACTGCTTTGCACTCTTTTCCACATAGAACATTACACTGCCCCTCCCATATGAGTATTTTTAGCCGTAGGGCCACAAGCAGATGCCACACAGCAAAGGCAGAAGGGAATAAGGACTTCATCTGTGCTCTCATGGAGCAATGTCCAATTCCAGATTAAAGGCACCATTGCCTCCTTCCCCTCTCCTTCAAAAGGAACTTTCTGGCCTAGAAGATTGAAGCCTTCAGCTGAAGGGTAAGGGGTCTGGGGAAAAATCTCACCAATATTCCCCAAAAGAGTGATGATTGGTGTCATTGGCAATCATAGCCACAGCCGTTTTATAGAGACTTCTCATACTTCCTGACTCACATGTATGCACACATATGTATCCCCATGAACACCCACACAAACACACACACACACACACACACACACACACACACACACACACCATCCCATGGCTGAGACAGGTCTCAATTCCCTTTACATCTTCCAAGTGGGGAGGGGGGCTTAAATTACTGGGCCAGGTCTCAGGCTTCTGGAAATGGATGCATGCATTTGAAGAAATGGAGCCTACATCCTGCCTAGTTTATTGAGCTCTTCTTGAATTCAATTTCCATCCATAGCTCTAGTTCTCCTCTGCCAGGCCTGGCCCTGAATTCTACAGTCAAAAAGAGCTAATAGTGTTTCCTTATTCCATTGACAATGCCAGCTTCTAGGCCTTTTGCCCAGGTTACAGTCTCCACCTCCCTACCCACTCCATTCCCTTCCTCCAAGAAATTCCAGTCCCTCTTCCCCTGCACAAATCTCCATTGGGATGATCTGCCTGGATGATTCCTCTTCAGAGTGCTGTGCCTTAGCTCCCTCTTGGGACAAGAACAGATATTTTCCTTTTGACCTTTGAGGTCCCAACAAAAAACAAGAAATATCAAAGTAAGCAATGAGCAGCATAAAGGTTGAGGAAGAACGTCATCCTGTGTCACATGCCCCTACCTTCACAGTGTGAGATTCTAGCAGACAAGCCTGGGGTCAGGGAGACAGGGAGAAGAAGGAAGAGAGTTACAGGAAGTAAATGTAAGGAAACTATTGGAAGACTCTTCCAATTAGCCAGACAGCTGAACCCTCCTATGCTTGCCTCCACAGTCCTACGAGCAAGTTTGCACATCACAAAAAGTAGGGGTGGGGGTCACAGACCAAGGGTTGCAGCTCCTGTCTGCTAGGCCACCTGGTGGTTGGAGAGGGCAAGGAAGACGACCAGAGGGACAAGCTGCAAAGAACAGGGCTGACAAAGGAACAAAAGGCTGGTGTTGAGTGGGAGGACAGGTAGGAAGTATGAGCTGAGGTATCCAGAGAGCTTGGGGCCCAGGAGTTGAAGTACTCTCCTGTGACAGTTGGAGCCTTCCAGATGGCCTCAGGTTTGAGGAAGCCCATGGAGTGGAGCTGCCGCCACCACTGATGGAATCTCCCTTCTGGCATTGGTGAGTTTGCACTCCCAGCCAAACACTGGATCATCTGTTCATGAACTGCTATTAGTAGTGGGAGTTCCTGTGGGAGGACATGTGGCTGGCATGGCTGGTGAGGAGGTGGAGCCTCAGTTGTAGTTCCAGAGTTGCTGTCTGTCCGTAGTGCTAGGATCTATGACCTCCCAAAGGAGCTAAGGCTGGTGCCAAGGTGCAAAGGTGCCTTGCTCTCTCCAGAGTCTGCCCACCCTGCTGCATCTTCAGTAAGACCTGCAAGATGCAGGGATTGGTGAGGATGGAGAAGGACTCCTGGTTCTGCCTCTGCTGTGGAAAGACAGGGAGCTGCAGGCTGAGCTGCTCCTTCAGCTGGGGCTAAGCAGGGCAGTCCTCATGAAAATCAACATATTCCCCATCATTTGAGCAGCAAAATCAGGGTTCTGGTCCATGGTTGTATCATGCTGTGCATGAGGGGTGTTGCAATCACATTCTGCCTTAGCTGGGGGATTACAGAAATCTGCTGCAGGATTGTGTGCATTTCTGGGCTATTGAATTTTGCTGGCCCCAGGCTAGCTCCATGGATCCATAGTTGTTGAGTGTACCTGGCTCATCCACCATCTTCTCATAAACTCTTACTGGGATGGGAACCTTTGGAGGTGGGGAGCACCTGGGCACAAGGGCTAGGCATCGGCTCTCTATTCTCAATAGGAGATGACTGGGAAGGCAAGCTGACAGTTTTAGGCAAGAGAAGAGAAGGGGTTGTTGTGAAAGTGCTCCCATGCAGCACTGACCAGCCATGGGCTCCTCATGGTCCATACACTTAGGGACCAGAACAGGCATGATGTCCTTGGGGAGTATCTCCTTATTTCATAGGGCTACATCCTGGTTCCGCTCAGGGTTGCATCCCATTTCCACATCCGTTCTGGCTTCAAGGCTACACTCTAAGCCAGCTTCATTGTCTGCCTTCTGTTGATTGTAAGGCTAATCTCAAGGTTCCCCTGCATCAGTTGCTACTTCTGGGGGTTGGTCATGATTGTGTGGCACATCAGGAACACTAGATATTTTATCTTGGAACAAGGGGTTCTTTGTGATTTATGACAGCCTCGTGTACTTAGATATCATCTGTCTTTGTACCTGTGGCTGTAGCTTTATGAAGCTGGCAGAGCCCAGGCCCAGGCTGTCCAGGCCCAGGTTGTCCCCAAAGACAGAATAGTTGCAGAATCCTGGGGTAGTCCTTTCCAAATGGGGACAACTGTTCTCCAGGTTCCTCTGTCAGATGTGAAATGGCCCTGGTAGAGGTGGAGGGCTAGGAAGAGGTGGCAAAGCAGGTTTAGTGGAGGGTGCTTTGCTGAAGTGGGGACAACAGTGTATATGGGGGTAAGCCACTGCAGCATCTGGATCTTGAGCCTTCTGATGACCTAGATGGTCAGTGAGCTTATCCTGGACCCATGCTGGTTCAGTGTGTCTCAGTCCTTGAGGATCTTGCCTGGAAAGACCTGAACCAGCTGGTCCTATGGGCAGTGAATCTTCTGGGGATTTTCCCTTTGCCCTTGTTTACCTAAGCTCCATTTCAGGCCACAATTTCCTCCTACTCCTTGAAGGTTTCATGGTGACTCAGTAAGGGGCCTCTTCTCCCCATGGTGCTATAGCAGCCCACCAGCCTGCCCTCCTCCTCCTCATCCTTTTTCCCCCAACCTGCCTAGCCCTGTTCAAATCCTTCTATTCCCCTCCCCTTCCCTCTCCCAATCACTTCTTCCTTCATACAGATCTCTGCTGCCCCTAAGGTGTACACTGTCACAGCTTATGCATCTTGCTCTCTCTCACTGACCCCCTCCTGGCATCAGACAGGAGTCATGGAAACAGCTTTTTTAAATGAAATCATTGCTTCATCTAGAGAAAAGACTGAAAAGCAAATGGAATGTAGCTATGAACCAGCTATGACATTTTCAAACATTACAGCTTCCCAAGATCTGATCAACACCATTTCTACCCTAAAACATTAATGAAAATGATCTCATTCACAAGTACAGCCAAGAATGTTCTTCCCCATTTTATATACTTTGCCATTATTTAAGAACATGAAAAATAAGCAAAAAATCACTTTCAACTGGGTCAAAAACAGGCTGGTATGGGTAAAAGTAAGAATCCAGTAAGTCAGCCAGCTGGACTGTCCGCATCTGTGACTGTCTGGGTCCCAAGGTAGCCTCTTGTGCACTATGGCAAATTTCATTCATGGTAAGAGTTGCCAGGACATACTGTACCCAACATTCTTCCTTGGTAATATTTTTCTACCTGGAAGAGGATGTAGCTTCCATTGAAATTTGAGGATTGTCAGACTCAAAGCTGACAGGATTAGCTCTGAAACCAACAAGCCCAGAATACATATTGTGATTTTGTCTGAGCCAGGAAGGAGCAATTAACAAGGAACAGGGCAATTAGGAGGCCTGGGAGACACCTGCAGTTGCTGTTAGGAACCTCTTCTTCTGTGGCTTAGGTTTGGTGAGGTTTAGGCCTGAGAGTAGGTTTAGGCCTGAGAAGAACATCCAGAAACAGCTGGCACCCAGGGTTGAGGAAGGTAGACACTTCTCCAGGCTGTCCAGTACATATGGCTGGACAGTGGTACCACAGTTGCTCAGGAGAGTGACCACCAACATCTGCCTGAGAGACTTTCTGATATTTGGAGGGGAGCAAAGCCAAGGGAAGGGATTGCATCCTAATCAATGAGGAGCTCAGTGATGGACACTGGAGCAAATGGCCTAGAGCTCTAGTAGGCCTCCCTTAGTATCTACAAGGCCTTAGGTAGCTTCAGCCTCCATATTTCTCATCTGTAGAATAGGGCAAGTGAACTACCTCCTTCCTGATACCTCTCTCCAAGAGGCTTTTCTGACCCTGTGCACACCCACCCCTGTCACAAGGGCTAAATCACCACCCTCTGATTCTCTAGGCTTACTTTACACACTGATTCTGTCAGAGACCCAGATCCTGGTTCTGTGAGCTCCTCTGTGAGGAGAGGAGGGGCTGCGAACCAAGCTGAAGTGTAACTGCTTGCCTCCAAGTCAGCACTGTGTCTAGGACTGGGGCCCAGGCAGGGACTTCAAGTCACATTGACGGAATGACAGAAGCTACATGGACCCCAGGACAGACAGTATTATCCCTCTTGATTGTCTCTTACTGACAGGAAATGAAATGTGAGAGGCCCAGGGCAGCTTCTTACCTGCCTTTTCCTCTGGAGCAGGAAGAGATGGTGGGGGCGGTGCTGGGCCTTTGACATCAACCCCCAGGTGTTCCCAAATTCTTTGTTTTGCCCTCCAACATGCAGGTGGCTTCACAATAGTCTCTAGTAGGTCTTTCACTGAAATGTTCTCAAATACAAATGTTTGAACACAAAAGACCCCACATATTTGTTTCACTAGTTGAGTCATGGGATGTAATCAGGACAGCTTCTCAGATGCTTCCTGTGAATCATGGCAGAGGTGTGTCCAGAGCCAGGGGAGCTAACCCAGTGGTCAGCCAATTGGGAAGGCCATGTGAGCACCTCCACTCTCCCCTGCCCTTCTCCCCCTTGCTCACTAGCTCTGCCCCTCCCAGCTGTATCCCTGCGCCAGGGAGGAACAGAGCTGCCTAGGCCCTGTCTTCTGCTCCTGTTTCCTGGGTGAGGACTGAGGTGCCTCCAGAAGCCTCAGGGTCTGCAGCACTGGCTGCTGCCTGGCCTTTCTGGCCTGCCATTGCTCAGTCCCCATCACTCCCCGACCTCTGGCTGCCCTGGACTCTGCAGGCATTCCTGAGGGCCTGAACCCAAAAATCCCTCTCCTATTTTTTCCAGAGTTTTTCCCCTTTCCTTCCATGCTAAGTCCACATTCCACTAATGCCTGGGCAGTTCTCAGCCCCCCAGACTACCATATTACATAAAATCAGTTTGCACACTCATGTTTGCCCCCTCTTCCTCTTAAGCCTAGTCCCATTTCCTGTGGCCTAAGTTGTATTTTTATTATAGCAAATATCCTCTAGCAGAATGAAACTTACAACATGAGTGTGCTTATTCTCTCTCTTTCCTCCAGGGCTCCTGCTGGAATAAATGCTCTTGAGCCTGGCACGATGGCTCATGTCTATAACCCTAACTACTCAGGAGGCTGAGATCTTAAGGGTCACAGTTTGAAGCCATCTAGGATAGAAAATCTGTGAGACTATCTATTAAAATAACTACCTAAGCCAGGCATTGGTGGCTCATGCTTATAATCTCAATTACTCAGGAGGCTGAGATCTATGGCTCAAGTGGTATAGTGCTAGCTTTGAGAAAAAGGACCTCAGGGACAATGCTCAGGAATTGAGTTTGAAAAGAAAAAAAAATCCTAGCTTAGTAAATAATGCTGCAATAAACATAGTCGTGCTGGTAGCTTTAGTGTGGTCTTGTTTGTGATCATTTGGGTAAATGCCTAAAAGTGGGATTGCTGTGTCATAGGGGAGCTCTATGTGAAGTCTTCTGAGGAACCTCCATACTGCTTTCCAAAGTGGTTGAACAAGTTTACACTCCTACTAACAATGCAGTAAGGTTCCCTTCTGTCCACATCCCCTCCAGCATCTGTTGTTAGTAGAGTTCTTGATTATAGCCATTACAACTGGAGTGAAGTGGTATCTCAATGTTGTTTTGATTTGCATTCTTTTATGGCTAGTGAGGTTGAGCATTTCTTCATGTGTCTATTGGCCATCCTTCTTTCTTCTTCAGAGAAGTTTCTCTTTAAGTCTTTAGCCCATTTATTTATTAAGCAGTTGTTTCTTTGAAGATTTATTGTTGGGGGATTTAATTTTTTGAGTTCCAGGTACATTTTAGATATGAGACCCTTGTCCATTGTATGGCTAGTGAAGATCTCCCAATCTTTGGGCTTTCTATTGAGCTTGCTAGCTATGTCCTTTGCCAGGCAGAAGCTCTGAAATTTCATGCAATCCCATTTGTCCAATGTTTCTTTGATTTGTTGTGTTTCTGGGTCTTTATTAAGAAAATTTTGGCCTGTGCCAAGGAG